AATATATTTCCTTCTTTTTCCTGGTATATTGCTAATATCTTTATTTCTTTTTCTCGATATATTGATAATATCTTTCTTTCTTTCATTCTTTCTTTCTTTCTTTCTTTTTCTCGGGAAAATTAGTAATATCTTTCTTTCTTTCTTTCTTTTTTTTCTCAGTATATTTGTAATATCTTTCTTTTTTTTTCTTTCTTTCTTTTTCGCGGTATATCGTTAATACCTTCCTTTTTCTCGGTATAGTGTTAATGTATTTCTTTATCTCAGTATATTGTTAATATCTTTCTTTCTCTCTGTTTTAAAATATCTTCCTATTGACTCTCAATTTGTCAATATATTGCAAATTTTAGCTATCTTCTGTATTGACAGGTGCAAACATTTTTCCTCTTAGTATATGGCAGTAATGTCTTTCGTTCTGTTACTTGGCCCACTGTACAGTTGATTTCTCTCTATATCTCTCCTTCATCACTCTTATCCATTACTGTTCTCGAGTTTAATAATCTCTCTCCTTATTCCGTTATTATTGGTCTCACCGTATAATTCTTTCTCTCTTACACATCTCACTCACTATATATATATATATATATATATATATATATATATATATATATATATAGAGAGATATAGAGAGAGAGAGAGAGAGAGAGATTTAGTTTATGAAAACTAGGTAATCCGTATGGGTAAACCCAAGGAGGATAAAATCCAGAGCTGGATTTACATAAAAAGACACTTCGTTAATTTACGTATGTTTAGTACGGCCCGTCAAAAATGTGTAAATTCCTTTTCATTTTTTGTTTCAACCTTTGGAAGTAAAGTCTGATGATCCGCAGTCCTTTAAAAGGGCTGTGGTGAAATAATTTATTACATGGAACCTTAATGTGGGCTGTTTTTATTTAAATTTTTATTTATATAATATATATATATATATATATATATATATATATATATATTCCTGTTTAGAATCTCACTATAGTCGATTTCTTTGGACGGTGGCTTTTCTTAATGTTAATCTGTTTGGGTAGGCGATGCCAGAGTTCGGCCTGAAACCCATAATATTGATAAACCCAAACCTTTTGAGTCAAATTGGGTATACGGAGCTGTCTGGAAGGCATCTACATAGTTGATCGATATGATCGACTGTACTCAAAATTATCGAGCAAGCAATGACTTTTATTACGTATATGAGTTATATATATAGTTTTATAGCATGCTATATTTATGAATTTTTTGGCGAAAACCCCGATATTTTCAAATAACTCGTGTATAATTCGACCCCAGCTTCGAAGCAAGAATAGCAGGCCTATTGTAGTTAAATATTGCAATACTAGGCATCACCCTGAACATATTTTATAGCAAATAAATAGTCTTCATTCTTTCTTGTACAAAGGTACCCCAAAATGGGACATCGTAAAATATCTGATACGAAGATTTAGATACCGCACGTTTGTTTTTGTCCATGCCTGATTACAGTAGCTCTTTTACTCTGTCCCTGCCTCCTACATAGACTAAGTTTCTTCCATTTAGTCGCTATATGAAGAGCAAAACCAGTTATTCTCCAGTTAACACCACCGCCTGAAGAAGAACCGATAGTGTTGAAAGATGATTGCATTTATGGAGCGGTTTATAACATGCTTTTGTTATAATATATATATATATATATATATATATATATATATATATATATATATATATATACTTCATTAATTGTGTCTTTGTATTCATTTATATTTAATATTGCCAACGAATATCTTTGAAAAAGCGTTGGCCGAAAGGTACCTTAGGCGTGACGTCCGTTTTGTTTAAGGCTATATATATACATATATATATATATATATATATATATATATAATATATATATATATATATATATATAATATATAATATTGAAGTCAACACTCAGAGGCGACAGGCTGTTTCATGCTAGACGCAATCGTCAGTCCGAAAGAAAAAAAAATCATTAAACGCTTAAACTTAATTCACATTTCCCAATAACTTGGACCGATTTTAAATGTGAATTAAGTTTAAGCGTCTAATGATATTTTTTTCTTTTTCTTTCAGATTTAACAACTGAAGTCTTTGGAACTTTCAATCATGGAAAGATTAACAATCAAACAACTTTTTAAAGTTTCAAAAGTGCAATTGGAAAAATTGTTCGTAAATTCAAACCAACTCGGTCGGTGGCAGATGTGAAAACAACAATGCGTGTTCGTTTACGCCATTCAACTGAAAACATTGGTGCAGTGCACGAGAATGCTGCCAAAAATCCAGACCCCTCTATTCATCATCGCGCACAGGAATTGAACCTCTCCACAACTAGGTTACTTCGAATTTTGACAAAATCTATACGCTTACAAAATTCAATTGACACAAGAAATGAAACCTGCTAAGCGTCAATTGGGAGCACGAGCAAAGACAAGACGATGAAGATTTTTCGCAAAAAATCCTCTTTAGTGATGAAGCCAATTTTCATCTTGGTCGATTCTTTAATAAGCAGAATTGTCACATTTGGGCTGATGAAAATTCACGGAAGATTGTTGAAAAGCCGCTGCATCCATAAAAGGCCACTGTTTGGTATGCATTTTTTTTGATAGCGGAATCATTGGGCTGTATATTTATAAATTTGAACGTCCATTTTCGTAATAGGCTTCGATAACTTTAACACGTTGTTTGGTTGTTAATCTTTCCATGGTTGAAATTGCCAAAGACAGTTGTTAAATCTGAAAGAAAAAGAAAAAATCATTAGATGCTTAAACTTAATTCACATTTAAAATCGGCCAAAGTTATTGGAAAATGTGAATTAAGTTTAAGTGTCTAATGATTTTTTTTCTTTCGGCCTGACGAGCAAAGACAAGCATGAAACAGCCTGCCGCCTCTGATTGTTGACTTCAATGTTCACTTATATATATATATATATCCCTCTTTTTAGATGTTATGAACTGATGCTAGATATTCACAAACAAAGAACTGCAGCAAATACAGAAACGACAATATACCACATGTTGACCAAAGCCCCGTGAGAGAAATCGGATAATGGGGACCGTACGGAAGCTGTTGAGGTTTGTGCTAGCACGAAGTCACAAGTCATCGTGGCCGAGGTTTGAGCGTGCTGCTAGATTATATGCTCTCTCCCAGAAGCTATAACTAAGATCCGCTCAACATAGTTGCTGTATAAACCACAGGTGTGTTCTGTGGATTGAGCAGATATCTTTAATAGGGTTTGTTCTAGTCGCCCTAATAGACGGGTGTACTCGGAAACGACTAGTAAGCGGCTATTTAATTTCCCCAAGGTTTTAATTAAAGAATTTTTATATAGTTTTCTTTTTATGACACTTTATTACCTTGTTTAGTAAAAGCAATGTTTGCACCGAAGGTGTACTTACTTAAATTGCATTTTCTTTTCGTCGATTCCCCGAAGAAAATGAGAAACTCTGACTAAAAGACAGAAAAATTTAGTTAAAAAACAAAGAAAAAAGTACTGAACTGTTACGTGATATCTGTCTTACTGTATAGCAGCGAATGTTGGACAATCTCCCCAATGATGAAGAAGAGACTTGAAGCAACAGAAATGTCGTTCTACAGAAAGATGCTGTGGATACCATAGACCGAACAAGTGAGCAACAACGAGGTTTTGAAGAGAATGGAAACAAAAAGAAAAACTATATTTAACATCAGAAAGAGGCAGCTGAAATTTCTGGCGCAAGTAAAGAGGAAGGAGGGCTTGGAAAATCTGATACTCACAGGACAGATTAAGGGAAAGAGGGACAGAGGAAATCAGCGTGTAACATACTTGGTGAGCTTGAGGAAATGGATGGTAGAAAAGGGTTTGGAAAAAATAACAGAAAAACAAATCTTATTAAGTGCTACGAAGAACAGGAAGATTTGGAGGGCCATGATCGCCTACGTCCTGAAGGGACACGGCACATAAAGGAAGAAGAAGACTGCTGCTTTAGCTCTAAGAACCAAAAGGAAGATTCTCAGTACAATACCAAACGATCTCGGAAGTTCTTCATGTTGATTCTAAGGTTTATTCTGTTTTATCATCGAAACACGTTTTATTAGGTAACAATAAGAGTTGTCTATTTAACTTTTAAGATTGTTTTTTCAACGGCTGATTTTTTTACGTCAGGATTAAAAACTGTCCATTTTTAGGGTGCAGGACAAAGCAACACCACCAAATGGACAACTCAGAACCGAGACAACTCAGCACTAGAAAAACATAACTTTTTTATTTCTGAATAAAAGTAATTTATTAAGGATAAAAACTTTAATTCGTGAATATTTTTCTTCAAATGAGGCATTTGAATAGGCAGTATGTAAAATATAAATCAGTTTTTTTTTATTTTTAATAAAGTAAATTGTAAATTATTAAATTATTTTTTTTATAAAACTATTTTAGAATGTTGATTTACTTTATTAAAAAATGAATTACATTTCTATTTACTTTATTAAAAATAATTAAAAACAAAAAATCTGCTTCATTTTGTTTTGTATTTTTCGATTTCCTTTACGTTCTGGAATGATGAAAAAATCACATAGTTACCATTTTGAGTCACTTATCTCCTGTGATGCCGAACAAATCACAGGAGATAAGTGACTCAAAATGGTAACTATGTTATTCAATATAGTTAAATTAAAGAATTGAAAAATTTATTTTTTAAAAAGATAAAATTGGTAATTAACTGATACGGGCAATCTCCCCTAAACATGAAATAGAAATTGAGAACAATCTAACTCCATGGATTGAATAAAGTGTTCAGTTCAAAATTCTAAGAAGCTACAATAGACCGGGAAGGGACAACCCAACACCACCAACTGAGCGCCGGGACAACTCAGAATTTGGGGGGAGATAATGATTTAGTGATACAGGTCTTACTAATTAACCCATAGCTGGGGGGAGAGGTAGGTTCAAGCATATTTGCGCGAAAGTGAATATTACTAACCCAACTGGAATTCGAACTCGACTGTCCGATTAATCATTTAATATCTATTACCCCACCTGCACACCAAGTGGTCACCCATCTAGGTACTGGCCAGGTTCGATGTTGCTTAACTTTGGTGATCGTATAGGAACAGGTGTTTCATCGTGATATGGCCGTAAACCTTGAAAGTTTTAAGAACATTGATAACTAAAATGATCCTTTTGCTTCCGATCAGAAGGAAGTAGTAGAGATTTCTGAGAAATTAATGAAGACAGAAGTCTTGGTGAATTAGATACTCACGGGACATATTGAAAGCAAAAGACTCTGAGAGAAACAGCGAGTAAAATACCTCATGAGCCTGTGTAAATGGATAGCAGGTCAGTGACTGGGAGGGACAGTAAGTGGACAAACAATGCTTAGAGCTACAAAAGATAGGAAGTTGTGGAGAGCTATGATCACCCACGTCTCGAAGAAAAATAGTAAAGACGACCAAGTTCAATAAATAAATGATGATGTGTATATTCATCTCGGCAACTCAGTCGGGACAAACGATACAATCATAACAAGTATACGATGAGAGCGTTCAGGTTTTTAAATGTGACCTATGAAGGTTCTGGAGATGTAAGAAGTTTCCGTGTCATTACTTCGTAATCATTTCGAAATGGCTGTTTCACAGAAGCTGTCCTATAAGCGAAAATTGCATACTTTTATATTCTAACTAGCAGCATGGCCCGGCGTTGCCCGTGCTTGATTCAAAAATCGTACGATTCATACAGCAATCGCTATCACTTGACTTAAAATATTTTTGCCCTTCCTTGCCTTTTAAAGGAGTGCCTTTGTCGTGCTGATATTGCTACATGCCTTACTTCGCCTATCTCACACTGCGAAGTTTTTTCTAAGCTCTATACTAAACATTAAATCTGTTACGAAAAAGAACTAAACAAAATGAACACAAAACGATCAGCTTTAAAAAAAGGACCGTAACTGGAAAAACCGAATGAAAAAGAATGTTAACAACAAATACTTTTTTCACACCCAACCCAGTTCTGCGGAATCAGAATCAAAAGCAGCGAATGAGCCAACTGGAGTAAAGTACCATGCAGATTTAAATTTTTTCCCACTTGTGACGAATGCAGCTATCGATTTTTTGGCATGCTAGCACTTAGTTAACATTCGTGTCAGTCGGCTGTTGGCTCATGGTGGCTAACAGAATCTTCCTGCCTTGGCAGCCAAGGCTCTCACACTGGCCAGTTTGCCGTAGAAGCATGAAAATCGATTATTTCCACTATCGATGGGAGTTGGGAAATGTGTTGGTCCTTGGCCTTCTTTTTAACTTGGAGCATGTGCATGTAAATTTTGGTGCAAATTGTCGAAAATTTGCACTACACACACACACACACACACACACACACACACACACACACACACACACATCCTGCTTTTATAGATAGAGATTTTCTATCTCACGTTACTTTTAATATGCGTTTAAAATGTTTGCTTCCCTTTCAAGGTTTTTCTAAGCATATCAAGATTTTTATATACTGAAACATTGACATGAATAACTGCTTTGACAAAAAAGTAATTGATTTTTCTTTAGAAATTTAGATAACGTTATAGATCATTTCAGTGCAGACATTGTACTGAAGTTGTCTTTTTCGATATAAATTGATTACAGAAAAGGCCAAGTTTATTTATTTAAATTTATTCATTCATTTATAAAAATGATTTGCCGCTTGGCCTTCACCAAATGCATAAAATAAAACCCTAGTATTTTTAGTAATGGTAAATCATGGTAAAAAAAAATAGCTAATTTTATGATTATAACGGGAGGATTAATGGCGAAAGAGAATCTGTTTGCTGAAGGAGCCTATACGATCTGATGGAAGCCCAAACGAGCAGAACCAGTACTAGCTGAGAAACATAAACAAGTCGAGAGGACCCTTATGAAAAGGAACCCCCACGAATAGAGAGAAACCAAACCGAGCCGAGGGGGGACCTTTTCAGGATAGACTAAAATTTATGAGATATATATGGTGTCAATACAGATTATAATATATATGTTTGCTTAAAATACAGATGAGGGAGAAGCTATTAATATTTAAATGGATAAAGGGTAATACGTTTTTATTTATAAATATAGAGGCAGTAGAAACATATTTGATTGTCCTATATATAATCTGACAAATGCATAGATAGATAGATAGATAGATAGATAGATATGATCAGATAAGATAGATAAATATATATGTGTGTGTGATGGACCTCCTGTCGTATCCAGCGTATGAGGGTCAAGCAGCTCAGTTCCTAGCAATGACAGCCCAGACACCAGCACATATGATTTGATTTTAGTTTTTTTTTTGAAGGGTCTGATGCAGAGACCCGATGCACTACGTACCACAATGTCCCCAAACGACACTCCGCAGGTTTTGAATTCAGAGTTGTCCTTCTCCTAGAGCAGTTGCCATCCAAGGCTATAGAACCAAGTCTTTCTATTTACCCATATGGAGGAAGAAGAAGAGAATTAATACACACACACACACATACACACACACATATATATATATATATATATATATATATATATATATATAAGACATTTTTTATATTTATACGTTCTTTTTATAGATAAAATATTTAATTAAATGCTCGGTTTATAATAAACTGATTAAAAACAGCCTGAATATCCGAGAAATTTTCATAGAAAATTCCTCCGATAGGAATCGAACCTTAACCTATTTTGTCATCTAGCCTAACGTGTCTTAAACTGATTGAGCCACAGAGGAGCGTTGGGTTGACGAGGTCAATACAGTTCTGTGGAATCAGAATCAACGTTGAGTCTAAGCAAGCGAATGAGCCAATTGGAGTAAATGCCATGCAGATTTAAATTTTTCCCACTTGTGACGAATGCAGCTATCGTTTTTTTTTTTTTTTGCATGCTAGCATGCTAGTTAACATTCGTGTCAGTCAGCTGTTGTCTCTCACGCTGGCCAATAGAATCTTCCTGCCTTATTCGTGGCAGCCACCTATTGGCTCTCACTCTGGCCAGTAGAGAATGGCCGCAAACTACATGAAAACTACCGTAGAAGCATGAAAAAATCGATTATTTTCACTATCGATAGGAGTTGGGAAATGCAAAGTCGGTCTTGGCCTTTCCGCTAACTTGGAGCATGTGCATGTAAATTTTGGTACAAATCCGTCGAAAATTGCGGCCGTGCATTCGTTACACACACACACACATACACATCCTGCCTTTTATAGATAGAGATAATGGTTAGAATGTGAAATCAGCCTTAGAGACATTGCATATAATTTCTATGATACTTTACGTTGACTTTATTGAATAAATAAATATTCTATAAGGAATGAAATGTCGCATTTTTTGATTGGTTGTTGATCCGGTCGTCTAACGAAGTCTAACGAAGTTTAACGAAGTCTAACGAAGTTTAACGAAGTTTAACGAAGTTTAACGAAGTTTAACGAAGTCTAACGAAGTAACCTCTTTAGTATATCAACAAATCTTGACTTATTCCTGACTTTATTCTTTCAATATATTGTTACTCATAATCCCAATGAAAATAATTACAATGAAATATTGTCGAGTAATCATATTGCCTGAATACAAACTACCTCTGAAGCATTTCGGAGTATCAAAGCGGCATTTAGTAATGGTATTGTTGAAATCAGAACTGTACAGAGATGGTTTCAGAAGTTTTGTTCGGGAGATTATTGAAAATAAACCAAGGGAAAGACCATAATCGATTATCAGACATGATCAATTGAATGCTTTGGTTGATCAAAATCAGAGAACTGTAGTCCGAAAACTTGCAACAGCTTTGCTTTATTTGGTAAAGCACTTTTTGTGATTTTATAGCGTCAACCTACAGGATTAGACGAAAGAATGTCTTCTTTAGGACCAAAAGGATTCATTACTTTGAAGCCATTTTAATAGAACCCTATTTTGCAAAACGGTTCTACGGAGCTGATAGTTTAGAATCGATAATGTCTAAACTTTAGACATTTCTGAACGAGTTGGGTCCATCTCAGAGTTTAAATCTGACGAGGCTATTTAAGAACATGAGTTTTCAGGCTAATATTTTTGTTTTTTTGTGGTAATAAAATAAGCACATCCCATCTCCCCTCTCACTTGTAACCATCCATCACGATAAAGCAGAATGAGTCAAATAAAGCTTCATAAGCTTCTACTAAAACTTGTTACTATATTACAGTTTTGTAGCTTATACTGTTGGAGAAAAGTACCCATTGTGCTTAATTTCCTATAGTAAACTTGCTATAACTGATCCATATACTGAGGTATTTGAAGTGTTTAGATTTTATTAATTCCACATAGTGATTTTTTTTAAATAATGAGCTCGGAGTGTGTGCTTCTGATAATCTCATTCCAATTCCAGATCATAATTTATATTTTGGATAGGTTTATCATGAGTCATAATTCTGAGAACACGTGATAACGTCGAATTTATTTTTTTCAAGATCATTCTTATACAAAATATGAACACCGATTTTATCAGCATAGCAACGCTCATCATCAGGCCTTTGGCGGGAAAACAAGATAGACGTTTAGTATTAATAAATTCGTTTGAGATTTGAATGTTTAAATATTTCTGACCCATTTCTTCACATCCGCTTTTTTAAAAACTTTTGAATGTTTTTTTTTCATTATTCATTTTCCACATACAGTAAAACAGTCTGATTTAATAGGATTAAATAATGATTTCTGTTATTTTTTGTGTCAGATTTGTAGTAACAGTGAAATTCGATAAGCGAAATTTTATAATTTTAACCGATCACCTAACTGCAAAACACTGACGCCCTATAGTCAGGGTCGGTGCGTTTTACAGGGAATCCACGGTAGATAGTTATAAAGCCCTGGAGCGCTTGGTACCAGGGCCGGTGCGTACTACTCCGAACCTACCGACCAGGGAACCAAAGTCTGATTAGGAGGCCCGGGCAGTGCTTTGTGACCCTCGCTATATAATCAACATTTGCATTTTCCTATCTACATTTATATACGTTTCAAATTAAACTAAGCACAATCAGTAAATGCATGAAAACTTTTCCCGGATTTTGATGTGATTCTGTTTTTTTTTGTTTTTTTCGTCCAAATCCGTGAAGTTGTTTTGAATTGGTTTTGCGTATGCTAAGTCTCGAAAATACACTA